TGGTGCTATAATAAACACGCCAATGTAGATGTCTCTTTGACATAATGACTTCATCTCATTCGGATATAAATCTGGTACTGGGATTGCTGGGTCATGTTAACAGTTTCGAGGTTTTTCTATAATGATTTCCATTATGGATGTATTAATTCATTTTTTTAATGATTTATTTATTTTTAATGGAAAGGCAGATATACAGAGGAGGAGAGACAGAGAGGAAGAGCTTCTGTCCAATGATTCACTCCTCAAGTGGCCACAACAGCTGGAGCTGAACCAATCCAAAGCCAGGAGCCAGGAGCTCTACTTTTGTGTCTCCCACGCGGGTGCAGGGTCCCAAGGCTTTGGGCCGTCCTCCGCTGCTTTCCCAGGCCACAGGCAGGGAGCTGGATGGGAAGCGGGGCTGCCGGGATTAGAACCAGTGACTACATGGGATCTCGGCGTGTTCAAGGCGAGGACTTTAACCACCACACTATCGCGCTGGGCCCGATGCACTAATTTATACTCCTACTAACAGCATGTGAGAATTCCCTGTTCTCCCGTGATTCGCTCCCTAATTCTGAGTTGAGTTTATAACACACTGTGGTTTTCTTCTGCATTTATCTGATTAGTGATGTTGAATATATTTTTTTAAAGATTTATTTATTTTTATTGCAAAGTCAGATATATAGAGAGGAGGAGAGACAGAGAGGAAGATCTTCCGTCCGATGATTCACTCCCCAAGTGAGCACAATGGCCAATGCTATGCCGATCCAAAGCCAGGAACCAGGAACTTCCTCCAGGTCTCCCACACGGGTGCAGGGTCCCAAAGCTTTGGCCTGTCCTTGACTGCTTTCCCGGGCCACAAACAGAGAGCTGGATGGGAAGTGGAGCTGCCAGGATTAGAACCGGCGCCCATATGGGATCCTGGTGCATTTAAGGCGAGGATTTTAGCCACTAGGCCACACCACTGGGCCCTGAATATTTTTAAGTATATTTTTTAATATAGGAAACCAGGAGACAGGCTGGTGCCTATATGGGATGCTGGAGTTAACAGGGTGGAGGACTGGTCTGCACTGCCCACCTGAGATGTCTACATATACTTTTTCCATCCTTTGTCTTTCTTCTGTCAGAAAATGTTTAGTCGAAGTCATTTGTCCATTTTTTCACAGAGCTATTTGTGGGCTTTTTTCCACCACGCTACTTATACAGTCTGGCTGTTAATACAGTTTCTGCTATTCTGTATGTTATCTTTTCAACTTACTCTTTTGTTTTGTGTATGGAATCTTTTCAGTTTGATGTGGTTCATTTGGGGAGTGAGCTAGCAGATATGATCTCCCACTCTCTTCCTCTCCTTTTTTTCTGGAACTAGCCCTTTTCATTAAAAATAAATAAATAAATAACACTGAAGAAAACTCCTGAGGATCTAAGACTAGCAACTACTTTTAGACTTAACATCAAACACATATACATATCAAAACCACAATTTAGGGCCCAGCACCATAGCCTAGAGGCTAAAGACCTCACCTCGTACATGCTGGGATCCCATATCACCACCAGTTGTTATCCTGGCAGCCCTGCTTCCCATCTAGCTCCCTGCTTGCGGACTGGGAAAGCAGCCGAGGACAGCCCAAATCTTAAGGACCCTGCTCCTGCATGGGAGAACTGGAAGAAGCTCATGGCTCCTGGCTTCAGATAGGCTCAGTTCCAGCCACTGTGGTTATTTGGGGAGTGTATCATCAAATGGAAAATCTTCCTCTGTCTCTCCTTCTCTCTGTATATTTGCCTTTCCAATAAAAATAAATAAATTATTCAAAAGCAACAATAAAAACAAACAAAACACTACTAGACCCCAACCTGCTGGCCTAGTGGCTAAAGTCCTTGCCTTGCATATGCTGGGATCCCATATGGGCACTGGTTCTAATCCTGGCTATTCCACTTCCCATCCAGCTCCCTGCCTGTGGCCTGAGAAAGCAGTCGAGGATGGCCAAAGCCTCGGGACCCTGCATCCAAGCAGCAGACCTGGAATAAGCTCCTGGCTCCTGGCTTCAGATTAGCTCAGCTCCAGCCATTGTGGCTGCTTGGGGAGTGAATTATTAGATGAAGAATCTTCCTCTCTGTCTCTCCTCCTCTCTGTATATCTGACTTTCCAATAAAAATAAATAAATCTTTAAAAAACAAAATTAAAAATTATTAAATTAGACTTCATAAAATGTGAAGCTTTTGCTAGACAGACTATGTTTAAAAGGCATAATGACAAATTACAGACTTGGAAAACATATTTGCAATCACATATCCAACAACGGCTTTATATCCAAAATAGACAATGAAATTGGATAAAACTGAAAACACACACATGCACATAAGTAAATACATATATAACTAATGAAATAGCTCACAGTAGGTTCTATGGATTAGAGCAACATCAATTTTTTTGCTCTGACATTGTACTACAGAGCTGAATAGGGTATTAACATTGGGGGCACTTCACAAAAATATAATGGGCCTCCCTATGTATTTCTTTGCAACGTCCTGTGAATCAATAATTACTTCAAATAAAGTTTAAAAAATTAATTACATTCATGTTAAAGCAAAAGAGCTGGCCACATATATGAACTTTTTTAAAAGATTAACAAACACCCTATTAAATGTGTTCTCTAATAGAACAGGTTCCTGCTTCTGGATTATGGCTCACTCACCTGGGCACTGTCTTTCTGGCCCAGCCCTCACATCAATCCAGGGCTCCTTTCCTTGTTCCAATGAGGAGATCACGGGTGGCTTAGAAATAGAAAGTCCTAATTACAAGAAAAGAAACGGAGATGAGTCGTAAATGAAAGTGCTCAAAACAGTGGTTCAAAATTAATTTAAAAAATCACAGATCACATGTCAAAATGGCATTTGATAAAATCTACAGAGGAACTAAAGAAGGTATACAATTTTTACATTGAGATGATTTCAGCATCACAAGAAATAAACAGATGATGAAATGCTACTTACATTTATATGTTTTCTCTCTTTGATATGATACAAGAGTTTTCTGAGTTATAACCAGATGTTTTTAATACTAAATGTAAAGTTCTTAGAATTCAACTACCAAAGGCAAAACATTTGAAAAGAAGCACATTTGTTTTGTGAAATGGGATGGCATTCATTTGAGCCATAAATAATAAATGATATTTCTTGATCCTTTTAACCATATATATTAATTAAGAAAGCAAAAACATCTGGAACCCATGTGTTTAACTTCATCTATTCTAATGCTCTGGCAGGTTCAGCACACAGAAGTGAAACAAAAGACAAAGCCAGGTTTCTTTGACAATGTTACCCGTTAATGCTGCAGAATTCCAGGAAGGAAGTATGGTAAGAAAGGACCAGACTTCATGCATGCACCAGTGGCTATGGTTGCTTAGCTCAGCCTGCCTCCCCCTAACCCAGCTCATATACAGACCAATGGTTTCTGTAGCCCTGCCCAGCCTAGTGTACCAGTTCTCACACCGCCAGTGGGAGCTGTGGCCCAGCAGGGGAGCCCCCACAGTCCTCTACCAGGCTTGCATTCCCCGATTCCCAGGTCTCACCTGTGCTGGTGGGTGTTGTGGCTAAGTCTGGCATGGCCTGCCTCACCTCAGCATCAACCAGAAGGTGCTGCTACCTGGCTTGGCCCAGTCTGCCCCCCGTTCCAACTCATGCTGGCGGGTGCTGCAGCCTAGCAAAGCCCAGCCAGCTCCAGGCGCAGCTCTAATAAGAACTGGCTGGCATTGTGGTCCAACCCAGTCTATCCACTTGTGCATGAATGAGCCAGAGGAAGTATAGGCTGGTTGGGTTTTGCTGAAGCATAAACTGGCAGGTGCTGGGACTGAAAGCAGGTCCTGTCAGATCAGACCATAGAACTTCCTGGAAAATGCAAAATCCAGGGCTGGGAGCGGGCCCAGGAGGGAAACTGTGGATACCGCTCTAATAGGGTGCAGCTCCCACTGGCAAGCATGAGAACAAGCACTGGGGGCAGGCATGGCTCGACATGCAGCTGCACCTGCTAGCATGAGTGTGGGCTGGACAGTGGGGTCAGCTGGGTTCAGCTAAGCTCCAATGCCCATTGTGGTGTATGATAACTGAATGAGATTTAGGACAGACTAGCACACCAGCATGCACAGGAACCAGGGCTGGGGGTGGGCCTAGTGGGAGTTTCTAGGTGCCACTCTGACTAGGCTGCAGTTCCCACTGGTGTATGTCAGGGAAGAGTGTGTGGTGGGTAGGGTTAGGCTGAGCTGCAGCATCCACTGAGTTGCATGTGACTTGGGGCTAGGGACAGAACTGATCAAGTGATGCAAACACCAGTGTGTGTAGGCTGATATGGATGATGGACTGAGTTGGACCTCACACTGGTTGACACACACAGGAGTCACTTCTGGGGTCACCTCTGGCAAGGTTTCTTTGGGAACTCCAAAAACTGGGTCACTGGACTCAGACTTCCAACCACGTGAAAATCACACAATATGTGGTCTGACTGGGAAGGGCATGTGTCAGAACTGGGTCTCCACGGTTGCCTGTGTAGTGGACAGCATGCCCAAATGTTTATGGGGAACATGACAACCAGTTTACCGAGGCCTGAAGATGATGTCTAGCACTATAGAGGGCAGAACAAATTAGACAGTTCTCCCAGACAACAATCTGGGAGAATCTAGACTCTAAGGTAAACTACATCAGCCAATGGACCTTTGAAACCACTTAAACAGTGTCCTTGGAACATGCTCCATATCGGGGACCCTGGCATGACACCGGGCAGCCTTTCCCCATTCCTGATGCAGTTGGATTGCTGGGAGCGGCTCTCTACCCTTCTCTCTCTACTTTCCCAGGATATCGGAAGAAAAAAAGAAGATGGAAAGCAGTTGTCTCACCCACTTCCCCCATTCCTCCGCTTTCCCAGCCTAACTTGTGGTTCACATGGCCATGCATCCCTCTCGACTATGTAAACATCATCAAAAACAAAATAAAATGAATTTATTTTTTAAAAAATAATTAGTTAAAAAAAAAAAGGACCAGAACTTTCATCCAGCTATGCTTATTTCTGCACATAGAAAAAAATCAATGGAAGAGAAAATACAAATCCTGAGAAGTAGATTCTCAGTTGTGAGAAGCATCTGCATTCTTAGATAACTTTACCAAGTGAAACCAAGTTGCTATAGTTTTCCAACATCACATCTTTGTACAAATTCCTCTGCGAAGGATTCAGGCATTCCCACTCTTCCTGAGAGACATCTATGGCCACATCTCGGAACTTCACCAATCCCTAAAATAAGAAATCACAGCACTGTCTTAGAAATTAAAAAGAAGCATCAAGAAAGAGAGAAAAGATTAAAAAAGTGGCAAAAAGAGAGAAAAGATTAAAAAAGTGGCAAAAAGAGAGATGCTAAAGGGTGGCACTGTAGGACTCTAACCCAGGCACTCTGGCATGGTACGCTGGCACTCTAACCAGCTGCTTAACTGTCAGACCAAATGCTCACCCTTCTGCCACACTGTATCCAGCTTAAATTTCATGCTCAACTAGTTACTAAATGTTATATTCACTCTCCTTGAGTGTATAGATTAAACCTATGACAGAGATCTAAAAGAATCAGTATTACTGGGGCTGGAGTAGTAGCCTAGTGCCTAAACTCCTTGCCTTGAATGTACTAAGATCCCATATAGATGCTAGTTCTAATCCCGGCAGCCCCACTTCCCATCCTGCCTGTGGCCTGGGAAAGCAGCTGAGGATGGTCCAAAGCCTTGGAACTCTGCACTCATGTGGGAGACCCAGAAGAAGCTCCTGGCTTCAGATCGGCTCAGCTCCAGCTGCTAGGAGAGTGAATCATCGGACGGAAGATTTTCCTCTCTGTTTTTCCTCCTCTTTGAATATCTGACTTTGCAATAAAAATGGATACATCTTTAAAAAAAAAAATCAGTATGATTGAAGTAGGAGACCTTCTTTTTTTTCCACTCCTCTCCCCCCGGATTTACTTCTTTATTTGAAAGTGAGAATTGCAGAGATATGGAGAAAAACACACACAGAAACAAGAACAGAAAGAGAGAGAATATCTTTCATCTGCTTGTTCACTCTCCAGATGGCTGCTACAACTGGGGCCAAAGCCAGAAGCCTGAGCTTCATTTGGGTGGAAGGGGCCCAAGCAGGGCCATCCTCCTGTGCTTTCTTGGGCACTTCAACAGGGAAATAGCAACCAAGACACAAACTGGCATGCATATGGAATGCAAGAGTCAAAGGCAAAGGCTTAATTTGCTAGGCATAATGTCACACAAATGTGACCTAAGTCTAACATATTCTGTTCAGTCTAACACTGGAGTTTGGAACTGGTGATCATCTATGCTTCTGGAACGATTTCTATGCCAACACACATCATATCTCCATCTCATCTTCATGCCTCATAAAGCAGAAAGTTGTTCTGCGTAGTGAGATGACACAACATCATCTCCTACACCTAACAGGGAGACTCAAAATTGTGAAAGCATGGATTTCCCACGCGTGATCTAACCAACAACCCTGAGGACATCACTTCTCAAGAGGACACCTCAAGTGGCAGAGTGGTGGCTTGCTATTTTCCCCATGATCTTCATGCCACCGTCCTCCTCCTCACACTCTCCTTCTTCCCTAACATATAATGGTATAACCTCATCAGACTACACCACATATTATCTCCCCCTCTTGTAACATCCGGCTTCTTGTGTCTTAGAAATTTATGCTCCCGATCCGTGTCACTATCTCCAATACTATTAACCTGTACTTTCAGTAACTGTAAATATCTCTATGCACGTCCTGCTAATGGCATGGCCTCCACATTTTCTAGCCTCCTCTATGTCTATGACCTTGTGAAGACAAGCCGCACTCTAGTTCACGCATTCCTTTTACTGTACTAGTCGTTAGTTCTGTTTTTTTTAAGATTCATTTGCTTAAAAGGCAGAGTTACAAAAAGAAGGAGAAAGAGAGATAGAAACATTGATCTTCTGTCCACTGATTCAGTCCACAAATGCAGGGCTGGGTCAGGCCTAGGCCAGGAGGCAGGAACTCCACCCGGGTCTTCCACATGGGTAGCAGGTACCCAAACACTTGGGCCATTCTCTGCTGCTTTTCCAGGTGCTTTTACAGGTTGTTAATTTGAAAGTGGGGCAGCTGGGACTCCAACTGGCGCCTGTATGGAAAGCTGGTGCTGACAGGTGGCAGTTTAACCACTAGACCACAATGCCAGCTCCTCTAGTGAAGATCCTATCATTAGCACAAGCTGCAACATCTCCAAAATTTCAAATGGAACTCTCCCTGGATATCTTCACATGACTGTCACTCCCTCAGACCTCTTTTTTTTTTTCACTTCTTTTTAAATCAAGGTTTGTTTCTTTGGAAGACAGAGGGACAGCACTCACACCTGCTGGTTCACTCTCCAAATTCTGACAACTACTGGGGTTGAGCCAAACACTGCAGCAAGGACGCTGGAACCCAATCCAAGTCCCTTCTATAGGTGGCAGGACCTCAGTTCAGCTAGCAACTGCTGCCTGCCAGGAGTCACGTTAGCAGGGAACTGGAAGCAGGAACAGGGCCAGAACTCGAACTCAGCCACTTATATATGGCAATGTGGCAGCATCGCAACTACCAACTATCAACTGCCCGGCCCTCATACCCAACTTAACTTTCATGTTCAACTAACCAATTTTATAGTTACTCAACAATTTTACTCAAAAGAAAACTATTTTCTGCTCTCTCTTCTTCCCGGTAGAATATTGAGCAAGTGGGAGGTGTCATGATCTGCTCAGTAGGTATATAAACATTGGTTGTACAGCAGCAGAACGAAAAAAGAAGACCCTGAACCTCTGCTACCATCATTTATTCACCCACTAGTAAGTTATGTACAATTCTCAGTAAAGCAACAATGTCAGGATAAAGAATGCAAGTAGTGGGTCCGGCACAGTAGCCTAGTGGCTAAAGTCCTCTCCTTAAATGCGCCGGGATCCCATATGAGCTCTGGTTCATTTTCTGGCTGTTCTACTTCCCATCCAGCTCCCTGCCTGTGGCCTGGGAAAGCAGTAGAGGACGGCCCAAAGTCTTGCAGACCCTGCACCCGCATGGGAGACCCAGAAGAGGTTCCCGGCTCCAGGCTTCGGAATGGCTGTTGCGGCCACTTGGGGAGTAAACCAGTGAATGGAAGAGCATATTCTCTGACTCCTCTCTGTAAATCTGCCTCTCCAATAAAAACAAAAATGCAAGCATTCATATGTTGAATTAGAAAGAAGAAAACATCAACTTACATGGTCCATGGCTTGGCTTATTTTAAAATCAAATGTATTGTTTAATCCTCTTGTTTCCATGTCAGAAGAAACTCCATCCACAAAAGGTGCTGCTGGGTGACAAAAGGTTCAGGGAGACATGAATTTGAGCTCCCAAATGCTAGGTTAGCAAGACACTTTCTTCTTTCAGATGCTCTACTTCCAACCCCCGAACACACAAACATAAGAGCAAGAATTTGTACAGATCCTCGTTCTCCGCAAAACCACAAGAGAACTCGGCTATTGCAGAATGAAGAAAAACGGGACCATGCCCTTCACTAGCCGGGACTTAGTTAACCAGACTACTGCTACATTGATGAAGCAGACAGGAGCAAACTGCTCATAAACATCTCGGACAGACTCTCACCGCATTTAGAGAAACATGGAAACGAAATGAACACAATGAGAAGCAAAAAAAATCAGGTAAACAGAAAGACCCCCACACCCGATGCAGTGGCATTTTCAAACTTCCAAGGCTAAAACAACACAGATGAAAGAACGGAAATAAACTTTTCCAAAGCCAATTCAAAATACCTGAGGCTTTAAAGTACTCCCAAGAAGTAAAGAATCAAAAGTCTTTTAGTAACAAATCACAGGTCGGCGCCAGGGCAGATCTAGCTTAGCCCCCACCTGCTTTCTCCCACAGGGATGCAGTTTTGAATCACGGCTGCCCCACTTCTGACCCAGCTCCTTGCTAATGCGCCAGGAAAGATGAGGACGGTCCAAGCGCTTGGGCTCCCACACCAGCATGGGGGACCTGGAGGAGTCTCCTGGCTTCTGGCTTCCAGCAACTCAGCTACAGCCTATATGGCCACTTGGGTGATGAACCAGAGGATGGAATTCTCTCTCTTCCTCTCTCTTTTTCTCTCCTCCTCTGCTCTATAACTCTGCCTTTCAAATAATACCAATATTGATACTAAATATAACTCTTTTCTAAAGAGCAAGTCTCAAAACCTTGTTTACTATAGCCTAATCTTTGAAAAAGAATATTAAAAAGTACACATTACATGTGGCTTTTCTACATGTAATAAAAAGAGAATAGAGAATGAGTAATAGAGAGAGAATGAGTCAGAGAGAGAGAATGAGTCTCCAGCTGCCTAGATGCCTGGCTGTGCACGCCTCAGCAGAACCATTTGGGCTGTGACTTTCTTTCATTTAAGCAAACGGGGTTCACCAAACAGGCACCCACCACGGTCAGGACCCCAAACTCCATTCCCACAAACGGTCCCACACACAATCACAGCGTCGCAAAGCTCAACAATCGTGCTCCCAGCAGAGGCCACAACAGCCGGCCACCTCGGCTCAGCCGAGACCCCCTCACAACAGCACCCCACGGCTGAGGGCAGCTGTCGGCGCTCGGAGGCCTAAAGCCACAGCACTCCTACTCCAACACCCGGGTAACGCAGCCCTCCTCACCCTCAGCATCCTCAGGACCGCATCCCGCTCAAGCTCTGCCTCGGACTGCAGGCGAGGACACCGAGCTCCGAACCGGCCTCCTCCGCCGGTCCCGTCACGCCCTCAACCCGCCTCTGCTGCCCACGGAGCAACTACCGGAAGTGGCTTTGGGCACCAGTGCCCTCTGGGAAATGTAGTCCGAGTGGCACCTGGAAAGTCCTCTTCCCAGCATCCGTCAGCAGCAAGGGGGTTATCTCAGGGTCGGCGATGCCACCTAGGGGATCGTCTGTGGAATCAGCAACTTCAATTCCTAAGGACGGATTTCAAAGCCGACGCAGTGGTGGCTCCTAGGCCCTCAAAGCGAACCGCCATGTACCCTGGAGGGGATGGTGGTTGCCTGATGCGTAGGGATCTGAACTCCGTCTCTGAGCTTGTGACACCCACAGTGAGGGCTCTGGCTGTGGAGAAGTGTGAAATCACACTGTTTGGAGAGCATCGGAGGGAGTTACGGAGCCGTCCACCTGCGTGAGCTGAGCTTCTGCTCGGCCACGTGAGGGGTTAGACATGACGCGGCTTAATACCCTCTGAAACTGGGATCATACGCTTTTGCAGGAGCTTAGCGGGCGTAAGCGAGCCTGTGTGAGGATGGGTTTGACTGAGGCATATGAGTGCGAGCTGAGTTCAGATCTTAGGAACCAATAAGTGAATCGGAGCCAGGAGTACTGAGATGGATGCACTGAGATGGTGTATCTATACAGAGCAGTGGTGTGAAATCATTTTGTGTGTTTCACTGCCAATGAGACCAGAATAGACTTAGGTATAAATGGAACAATAATAGCTTCTGGTAAAGATCTTCTTGGTCAGGTGTTGTGAGGTGCCTTGTGCTTCAAACTGCCATTAGGGGTGCTCGCTTCGACAGCACATATACTAATATTAGAACAAAACTGTCACTGTGGGTGAATACTGAGTGAAAACATGAAAATGATAGGGCTGGGCCCAGCACCATAGCCTAGCAGTTAAAGGCCTTGCTTTGAATGCCCAGGATCCCACAGGGTGCCAGTTCTAATCCCGGCAGCCCCACTTCCCATCCAGCTGCCTGCCTGAGGCCTGGGAAAGCAGTTGAGAATGACTCAAAGCCTTGGGACCCTGTACCCACATGGGAGACCCAGAAGAGGCTCCGGGCTCCTGGCTTTGGATTGGCTCAGCTCCGGCTGTTGTGTGGCCACTTGAGGAGTGAATCATTGAACAGAAGATCTTCCTCTGTCTCTCCTCCTCTCTGTATATCTGACTTTTCAATAAAAATAAATAATAAGAAAAAAATTAGAAGGCTACAATATCATTGGTCACCACAAAAAATTTGAAAAATAGAAAAATGTCTGGAAAGTTAAAAATCTTATTAGCATTACCCTCTACTATGTAACACAAGTTTGTGGCTTAAAAAAAGTAGCTAATTATGCTGGTGTTCGGGATTTGGGTGTTTGGCTGGCCTGAATGGTTCTCCTGATCTCATTCTTGCATTAGCTGTCAGCTGTTGCATTGGTACCACCCGACTATGTGGCAGCTGTTGCTGTCAGTTGGTCCCCTCCCCCTCCAGGCTTCTGTCTTCAAGCAAGCCGGCCTCAGCTTTCCGGAACGCAAGTGACCTCATGCAGAAAGAAGACAGGAGTAAAAGCTGCAAGACCATATTCTATTCTTTTTTTTTTAATGTTTTATTTCTTTTTTAAAAGATTTATCATTTATTTTTATTGGAAAGGCAGATAGATATACAGAGAGGAGGAGAGACAGAGAGGAAGATCTTCCATCCGATGATTCACTCCCCAAGTGACCGTAATGGCTGGAGCTGAGCCAATCTGAAGCCAAGAGCCTCTTCCGGGTCTCCCTGGTGTCTGCAGGGTCCCAAGGCTTTGGGCCATCCCCCACTGCTTTCCCAGGTCACAAGCAGGGAGTCGGATGGGAAGCAGGGCTGCCAGGATAAGAATGGGAATCCATGTGGGATCCTGGCACATTCAAGGCGAGGACTTTAGCCGCTAGGCTATCGCGCCAGACCCTGTATCCTATTCTTTAGGGCACATCACAAGGCCCTATCTAACCAGCCACTGCCTAGCATCTGAGGATAACAAACTTTCCCTTTTCTGAGAAACATAACATAAAAGCTGACCCTGACCTCAGTTTTGTGATATATTCAGTGCTTCCATCTTCCCAGGGCTCTTAGAGAAGAAACTTAGGGAAGGGGGAAAGGAAACAGGGAGTGTAGGAATCACTCGGAGCGGAGATTGGGTAAACTCTAAGAAACTCAACTCACAAATTATCATAATCTACCACACACATAGAGGTAAAAGGGAGCTGGGTGTACTGTTAACCCTGCTTAGGAACAGGGGAAAAGGACAGGTCACTGAGAGAAGGGACTAGAAACTTTCTTACATTGACAGCAGTTGCCTTGAGGTGACAGCTCTGGAGCACATCACAGGATTCCCAAGGGAGATCCTGAGGCCAGAGCACTTCCTACGGCTCCGGTCTTCCCAGGACACTGGCTCAGGACCAGGGCCAACTCGGAAAGCCTCATTCCAAAGGCAGTTTTGGGCTTTTCCGCTTGTAACGCTGACTCTACCACTTCAAATGCCTGAATCCCCTTCTGATTCTCACTGCCCGGCGTGTGAGGTTCACATGGCAATAAAGCACGAGGAAGAGAAAGAAGAGGGAAGAGGAGGCAGAATCCAAGAGATACAGCCTACTGTTGGTACGGATGCTCACCCCAAGGGCGGACCTGAAACCCCAGGGCAGAGGTGCCACGCCAGGCTTCGCTGTGTAACACGGACTTCTAGGGGTGTCATCTCAGGCAGGCGGACCCTCCGAGAGACCCCCAGAAGAGCTCTCAGACCCAATCCTAAGCCCAGGGTTGCAGAAAGGAAGCTCTATCCTGTTCCACAATGTCACTGAATTACGATTCTCTTGCATCCAGCAAAGCAGCGCTGCTGCCTTAACTCCACAGTGTCACACACCTCCCAGTGAGGACCAGCCGCCCCAGTGGCTCTGCCTCTAAACCGGTACACACCCCGACCCGCTCTGTCATCGCGCACACACTCCTGCCTCGTCACAGCCACCCAAGACTTCACACCTGACACCATACACGCGCCTACAGATGTAGGGCTTTGGGCTACACACGCGAGTCTCTTGTCCTGACAGCTGGGTACTTGCTCACCTGGAGCGCCTCCCGCGCCCAGACTCCAGTCAGGGAGTCAGTTAAGTCTCAGCCGCGAGAAAGCGAAGGAAGAAATGCCAAAGCGGCGCGGGGCTTTGTGGGAAGTGTAGTCCAAACGTCGGAAAGGCCCGGATGTCGAGGAGCCCGAAGCGTCGCTGAGGCTCCGGGGGCTCGCAGCGCACGGAGTCCTGGGAGGGACCGTCCGCTCCCGAGTGCGCAGGCGCAGGCTGCCGGTGGCCGCCGGTGAGGCGTTGGGACCCTCCTGCGGGGCTGATGGGGGGACCCGCGGCGACGGGCGAGGACAGAGGCGGGATCCCGGGCCACAGAGAGAGGAAGGAAAAGGGAAGCCAGGGCAGGGAAGGCAGCGAGAGTCCGGGCCCCAGAAAGGGCGGAGAGGGAGCGCAGCAGCTGGCGGCTGGGAGCGCGGGCCGCGGAGGGAGGACGGGGCCGGGAGGCCGGGGCAGTGGCCAGCGCAGCACCGGCAGGAAGGTTGTCTGTTCCCCGAGCGAGAGCCCAGCGCTGGGAGCCGGACCTGGCACCCCACAGGCGATCCGTTCTGGGGCCTTTTTTTGTGCCTGTCCTGGCTTGGAGGGGGCGGCGGTGGCGTTTTGTTACTCTTTATAGCAAACAATAGCAAACTGATTGCTTTAGAAGTGATAGGACTCCTCTCTGTATATCTGACTTTCCAATAAAAATTAATCTTTTTTTTTTTTTAAAGTGATAGGGTCTTCGTGTATGTCAGTTTTAAGTTAGGTGCAAGTGATTTGTGTTGGGGACTGTAATGAGCTTTAAGAGAAGGGGGTTGTAAATAGAATTTTGTTACTTTGTGTAAAGTATGTTATGGGCTTTGGAGATTCTGCGTGCTAGCAGGCCTGCATGATGAGTGACAGCTGAATAGGTTTTACTTTTGGAAGCTGTCTGCGCAATCCATAATGACTATGAACGTGACCCATCCGTGATTCACACACAGTGCTGGAGATACTACGTGCTAAGTAATTAGCATATACTCTCCGTGGCTTTTTTTTTTCCTAAGATTTATTTATTTTTATTGGAAAGGCAAATGTACAGAGAGGAGGAGAGACAGAGAGGGAGATCTCCCGTCCTATGGTTCACTCCCCAAGCAAAGGTTGGAGCTGAGCCAGTCTGAAGCCAGGAGCCAGGAACTTTCCTCCTGGGCTCCCACATGGGTGCAGGGTCCCCAAGCTTTGGGCCATTCTCAGCTGCTTTCCCAGGCCACACGCTAGGAGCTGGGTGGGAAGCAGGGCTGCCAGGATTAGAAATGGCACCCATATGAGATTCCGGTGCCTTCAAGGCAAGGACTTGAACCGCTACCTCACTGGGCCCTACTCTCCGTTTTTTATGCTAAATAGTTTGAGTATGACAGCTAAACAAGTAAAAACAAAGTACAAGTTTTAAAGTGGAAGAGGTAAAATAATTTTCATGTGGGGAATCCATACTGACTGAGAAGTAACAGGTTGGAAAGGATGGAACGCCATTGAAAATACAACAAAAACTTCCTGTAACTGCCACTACAGATTTTCTATTTGGGTGGGTCATCCAACTGCTGTTGGATGAATTCCTGGGAGCCTTAATCATTTCACTACAGTAGGAAAAACTTTTAAATCCATTGAACATTTAAAGATCACTCTCATAATAGCCATTTAGATAAATGCAGTATAAATCAAGCCTGTTTTAAAAGCAAAAAATGTCTCTCTGGTGAAGGGGCACATGATTCGTTCCCTCTCTAATTCCCCAACCTCTGTTTTGTCTTCTCTTTCTTCTCTGTAGGTGGATTATCTCCAGCTCAGATGGATTGGGAGCTGAGAAAGGGAAGGCATGTCAAAATGCAGGGACAGGTGGAGGCTGACATGACTGCTATCGTTATCAGGTAGTGTGCCTCCTCTGAGGCGGCCTGCCTGCTGTCGGAAAGCTCCGGCTGCCTCCTCACTTCTTCAAGGCATGTCATGGCACACGCGCTCTGGTGGGTATAATTTATCTGCTTG